GCAGCGCCCTCACTCATGGCCCCCACGCCATGTTTTTAAATTCCAAGAAGGGCCCACTAGGGCCACCACTGGGGCGACGGGGTCCTCTCGGGGCGATTCACTAAGCCCGCTGGAGGGCCTGGGCCCCAGGGCGGGGCCCCACAGGGCCCAGATGGTGGCTCCACCGCTTTTTGTTTTGTGGCCAACCGATCCTTCTTGAGCTCCTGGCAGGCCCTTGAATCACCGTATTTGATGAAAGCTTCGTAGGCGGCAAGGATCCTTGGAACCGCCGCCGCGGGTTCCGGGGGGGGAGAGGCTAGGATCGAGCAAGGCCCGAGTCGAAGCGATCGAGATCTGACCTCGACCCGCCGAGAAGCTTTACGCCGACGCAGAAGCAGAAGCAGCGAACGCTAAGTTTGCTGCCGATGCCCCCACGTAAATGCACGTAATGGGTAGCACCTCTCGCCAGCAGCATTGATGGACCATTGCAGCCATGGCTCCCCCGCAACTCCGTAAGAGAGGCCGCCGGTGCTGATGCCCGCCGCGTACTCGTGCACCTTCGACCTCGGGGCTGCCCACGAGACCGAGGCCCGCCAGCGGCCCGCGGCTGGACAGAGGGGGGTGGGCAAGAAGGCAAGCAGTGGGAGATGGGGAGGCACTCAGTACCCACGCAGACCACATCGTCTCGCGGTTCTTCTCATGGCGGACGAATGTCCTCTTCGTGGAACCATCTGCGTCCTGGAAGATCAGGGGTGGGTGCTGGGCGCGTGCTGGTTGACCTGGGGGTGGGGCCGACTTCTTCGCTGGGCGCTATGTCCCTCCCCCCGTAGAGGGCCTCTTAGGCCCTGGGGCCCCTGGGCCCGACAGCCCGTTGAGTTTGCTGCGGGGGGCCGTTGCGCATGCCGGGGGACCACGTAGTCTTTCCTCATGAGAGCCAGATACCTCGCGTTGGTCTGTTTGCCGTACCTCGGATGCAAGAGGTCGGCAGACTCACTCATGGGGGAAGGTGAGGGTGCGAATGCACTGGGGACGAACATGGGGGGAAGAGCTGGATGGTCGGGGTGAGGGTTTGTCGGGTGCCATGGTCACGCTAACTCCACAGTCAGAGACGGGTTCCACTTCTTTGCCTCAGCTTCTGCCTCGAGCTGCCCTGCCCTGGCCTTCAAGGCCTCCACCTGCTCTTGATCTGCGGGAAGTCCAACTGGTTTCGATGATGGTGAAAGTGAAGGCGACTGCGGCTCGGCCATCGTCGGGGGCACGTTCGGCCCCTCGAGGCGTCTGCTTTTGGAACCCGCGAATGGTTTTGAAGGATTTCTCGGAGAGCTCGGAGTCTTGGACCTCAGGCGGCGCTCAGGGCCAGGTCGGGTCTTCTGTTCTGTCCCTGCAGGCTTCCTGCCGCGGATGCCGCTGCCGCCGCCGCGGCCTTGGCCTCCGAATTTGGCGAACATCGCGCCGGGCTTGAGGGCTTGACCGAGTCAGTCAGAGTCGGGTAAGCTCAGGGACTAAACAGTCGCAGAGCCTGAGCTGGGATGCTGCGCGCGGCGGCAGGATTGGTTCTATAGTCTATAGCCCCGAAGACGCGGCCCGACTCGCGATGCGAAGCGAAGCCTAAGCCGCTGAAGTTGGAGAAGGGGGGGTCGGAGTTGGACGGGGGCGGGAGCCGCGGTTGTGGAGGGAGAGTCTGAGGGAGAGAGAAACGGGAAGGACGGCGGGAGAAGGATCATGAAGAAGGAGGAGGAGCGAGGAGCAGGAAGAGCAGGAGGGAAAGGAGGCAGGAGGAGGAGGAGGAGGGACGGATAGAAGAGAGGGGCAACCTCCCCGCCCTGCCAGGTCACCCCGCAAGCGCGACAAGGCGAGGCCCCCCGCCTCCGCGCCTCTGTCCCTGGAAGGGGGTCGGGCTGAGTCAGCGGCGGCAGCGCAGGCAGGGCCCCCACCCTTTCCCTCCCTCGCCTCTCGCTCCGCCCGATGGTCTGGGGGTGGCCCAGCTGGCGCTATTGTTTTCAAGGGCCGCTCGCACCGCTCGCACGGGCTCCGGCATCGCGCTGGCCCCCGCCTAGGGGCCCTACTGGGCCCTGCCCTCCCCGCTGCTTCCCGCGGCTTACCCGCAGTCAACTGTCTGGCATGGGGGGGCTCGGGCTCGGGACTAACTGTCAAACTGGCGGTGCGAGACCCCGAGGGGACAGCCTGCCTCAATGCTACTACCTCAAATGCTTCCCAACAACTTTACTCACCAGAGGGGCCCTGAGAGTAGAGTAGATGCATGCCCAGCCATACCCAATGCTGAGCACGCGCTGCAGACCACAACGTCGACCCCGTGGCACCTACACAAAACGGCCGTAGGCACACACTTGTGACGGGGTGCTCGCGTCAGAGGAGGCGCCAGAGCCTGAGCCGGAGGCGCCAGCGTCCTCAGAGTCCTCCGAGTCGTCGTGGGCTCGGGGCTGGGCCGGGCTGGGCCCTCCGCGCAGCGGCAGGGTCTTATCCAAGTCAATCCGAGCTGGAGTCGTAGTCGTCGAAGTCGTGGCCGTGGTCGTTGTCCGAGTCGTCGATCGTGATCGTCTGGGCGAGGGGGGCGTCGGGGGTCGCCAGCCACCTGGGGGGTGCTACGGGCAGGTCCGAATGCGTCGGGAAAGTTTCCCGACGCAATCGGGCAGGTCCGAATGCATGGGTGCATGGGGGTTCCCGACGGGAAACCCCATGCACCCATGCACGGCCGAGGCCGAGCATATCCCGAAAAGAAATGGATCCTATCCTCCAGCCTCCCTGCCTCCTTCACCGCCCCCCCACTCCCGCATCCCTCCTCGCAGGCCCGCCTCGCGAGGTGATTTGAAAACAAACCCATCCCTCCGCCCTCCCCCACCCCACCCCACCCCACACACGCCCACATCCTCCCCCGCCCATCCCCCCATCCCTGTCCCCCATCGTTTTGTGCCGCTCCCTCCCACTTGTAGAGCAAGAGAGCCCCAATGACGGGCAAGCTCATCGTGTTCCCCGCCTGGTGGTACACCGCGGCCCTGTTCCTTGCACGTGGACGCGAGAAACTGCTGTCGTGGTGGCCCCACTGCCAGTCCATCGTGGGAAAGCCCTGGCTCGCCAGAAGTTCCAGGGCCGTGAGCCAACGGCCAACTGGGCGGCCCTGGCTGTCCTGGATGTCGGCCCAGATGAGCCCGCAGTTCCTGATGATGCACTGGAGGTTCGCTTCGCCGCTGCGCATGATGCGGCCTCCGATAATGAGGGGCCTCCTCCTTCCTCCCCCCCGCCCCCCCAACCCTATCATCCTTCATCCTCACTTTCCCCCATCCACATCCCTCCCTCCCCCACCCGCCCCCCCCCCATCCTCTCCGACTCCGCCTCCTTCCCTCCTCCTCACCCCTCCTTCCCTCCTTCCTACCCCCCTGTCACCCCATGCTCCTCCCTCCCCCATGCTCCCCCTCTCCTCCTCCGCCTCCTCCTCCCTCCTCCTCCTCCTCCTCCTCCTCCTCCTCCTCCTCCTCCTCCTCCTCCCCCCCCTCCTCCTCCTCCTTGACCCATGGGCCCCTGGGCCCCTGGGCCCCAAGACGAGACCGCCTGAGGCCGCAGAGGCCCTCTGGGCTCCGATCGGACTGCCGCTTCTATCAGGGCAACATTTGGACATCTCCCAGAGGGGCCCTCGGACTCCAAAATCAACGCCCTGATCGGATCATTCTTCCCGCACGACTCTTCGAGGCCAAAAATGTCGGTGATCCAGCCTCCATTCGGGTTCTGGCTCAGGGACCACGCGCGCCCAGGGAAGTTGGCACGGTAGGTCCTGAGCACCACGATCTCCCAGTCCGTCAAAGTTCTCTCGAAAATGAAAGGCTCGCCCATGTCGTAGTTCTCGCCCGCCCACGCGGCGACGGCCGCCTGCAACTCATCCCCCCTATTCCTCTGGTTGGCGGGCACGCGATCCGCCTTGTCCTTTGCTACGAACGCCTTCTCGATTGCCCAATCCAACTCCCCCTGCAGGGCATCGTCGGTCGCGGTGAAGTACTTCCGCCAGGAGATGGCGTGCTGTCTCTCCTCGTGGTCGTCGTCTTCGTCGCCCTCGTCCGGCGTCGTCGTCGTCGGTCGCCGTCGTCGTGACGACGACGGCGACCGACCGACGACGACGAACGACGGCCGCGACGACGACGACGACGACGACGACTCGTCGTCGTCGTCGCGGCCGTCGTTCGTCGTCGCGCCGCCAGCTCGCACGGCGGGGGGCGGAGGGGAAGTGATTGGTGGTGGTGAAAGTCCAGCAAGCGCGTGAACATGTTCACTGGAAATAAGAACGCCCCGGCCTTGTACTTGTGAATCAAGATCGCGAACTTGCGCGTGCGCATGCTGGGGAAGCCGAAAGAGCAAGCATTCAACGTGATCTCCTGGACGTCGTATAGGTGCCCCAGCAAGGTGTTCAGGATCCCCGTCGGGAACTGCCTTACGTTCTCCTGGAAGATCACTTTCTCCTGGGAGGCGGAAGGAATGGCGGGGGGGGAGAAGACGGGGGGGGGCCTCGGAAAGGAGGAGAGAGGAGGGATGGAGGAGGGAGCAAGGGAGGAGGGATGAGGGAGGAAAGAGGGAGGGAAGAGTGAGGGAGGAGGGAGGGAGGGAGGGAGGAGGGGAAGGAGGGAGGGAGAGGAGGGATAAACAACAGGAAGGAGGGAGGAGGGCCCCCATCCCCGAGGCTGGCTGGCACAGTGCGGCCCCCGCCCGATCCTGGCACTTGAGTCGGAGTGCCACCCAGGCCATGAAGTAGAGGCACGTGCGACCATCCAGCGCTCCTATGAGGGCCCAGCCCACAAGCGGCGAGTCGATGCGGGGGCGGTGATGGGAAGAGGGGGCGGGCGGCTGCATGGCCGTTTGTTTCCTGAGGCTCCTTCTTTGTAGTCGTGCATAGACGACTCGTCTGTGCAAGGCGTGCCCGCGACGTGGAGCTCAGCGCCCCCCCCCCTGGACAAGTCGCACTGCCCGCCGTGCACAACGCAGTGCGCCCTCGTCTGAACAGCCAGTCCACTTTTCACAGCTTTGACAATGGCCTCGTAGACGCCCTTGACACCGCGCTTCGAGTTCTTGCACTGCTTTTCGACCCTGCAAGCCCACGGTTGAATGCTGCCTGCATAGAACTCCCTGATGTTCCGGAAGCAGCAGCACGGGGAGTGCACGTGGGACGAGAGGAGCTCCGCCTGGCATTCCGCGTCCCACTCGATGGCGTGAGTGTGCTTCACCATCGGCCGCGGGATGGCAAGGCCGCCCTGGCCAGCGTAGATGTCGCGGCTGACGGACACGAGCGCCCGGCCGATCAAGGCGGCGGCCATCCCAGGAGCGTCGATGCCGCTGAATGCAGTCGACATCCGCTCCGCGTCGACCACCTCCGAGGGATCGGGCCGTTGCACGCATTGCCCCCCGCCCCGAGGAGGGGGAGGGGGGGGGCGAGGGGGGGGCGACGAGAGGGGGAAGACGAGGGGAAGGCGTGAGTGGCAATGAGGAGGAGAGGAAGAGGACAGGAGGGCGGGGGTGGACTTGCCTGGGGCGCTCCTGCGGGATTCCTCGTCGGGGCGAAAAGCCCTTCGAAGGGCCTGATTCGAAGGGAGTTATCGGGGGAATTTGTTTGAGGAGGAGGGGGAGGAGGAGGAGGAGGAGGAGGAGGAGGAGGGGGGGGGGGAGGAGGATGAGGAGGGTGGGTTTACCCAGCGGGGACCCTGCACAGTTTGGAGACAACTTCGTAGGAGGTCCTGCACCCGAACATCTCGGCAATGGGCGTCTGGGGCGTTTCGTTGTCACTGAAGCCGTTGCGGGGCAGGGTCTGGGTGACGTCACTGGACACTTTCAGCACGTCGTACACGGGCCACTCATAGCACTGGTGGACTTCGCTCACCAAGCGTTCTTCGTCGTTCCACCGGTACAGCGAGACATCAGACAACACCTTGTGCTCGTGGTGCGGATCCGCATCGAAGTGCAGCAGGTTGCGCAGCCGCGGCACAGCGGGGGCGCTGGCCTCCTCCTGCTCGAGCGTCGGCGGGGCGGCGATCTCGACCTCCACGCCCCCGACGCCGCCAGGCAAGGCGACCACCTGCGCCGGCTCAGCCGGCTCCACGTTCGGCAGCGGCGCCGACGGCGCGGGCGGCGGCGCAGGCTCGGCGGCCGCTTCCTGGAAGCTTCGGGGATGTACAGACACAAGGGCCCAAACATGCTCTGGGATGGCCCCGATGGGTTCCAAGAATGCCCCGAGCGGCCGCGTGGAAGCCCAGGTCAAGCGTAGCCATCTTGGAAGGTCGCAAGGGGGGTCTCAGGGCCCACTTCGCGCGAGCTCCTGGGGGTGGCAATGCGGCAATGCGTCTGAAGCCACCATCGGCGCAGTCCTGAGCAACCTCGGGGCCCCCTGGGAGACGGCGCGGGGCCCCTCTTCGGCTCATGTTAAGCCCTGGGAGAGGTGAATGGTGTTTCTTTTTTTGTTTTGTTTTGAATGTATAGAAACAAGAAATGGACTTGACCACAGTTTCCGGGCAGTGCGTCTAAGGTAACCCTCGGTGCCATTCTGAGCAGTCTCGGTGCCCCGTCGGGGCCCTCGCGAGGTCCTCTCGAGGGCCCATGGGCTCCGTCGGGGCCCAGGAAGGAAGGCCTTAAGAAATGCCCTGGATGGCTGCGAGACGTTTCCAAGAGGGCCCCGAGAAAGACCCGATAGCTCGGATTACCGACAACAAACTGTGGCCCATGTCGGGCCCTTCCCTGCTCCAAGTGAGCCCCTGGAGGCCCCATGATCACAATTATGCGTTGCCACCTTCGCCCGCTCCAGCTCCCGTTGCCCCCGCATGATCCTCCTCGGGTGCATCTGGGAACCAGAGGCGCGTGTAACCCATTTGGGTTTGGACGCGAATGATGTCCTCCAAATCTTGCCTGGCGATCTCGCCGGGGGTGTCGGACAGCCCGCAGTCGGACAGCCCGCTGCCCTGGCCGTCGAGCTCGATGGTGGCGGCGCTGGGCTGGGGGTCCGTGACAGCCGCCGCCGCGGCGGTCATCGCGAATGCGTCCACGATACTCAGCTGGGAGCTCGACCGGGACGCACGATCGGGCGCCGCCGCTGAGGCACTCGCGGACGCATCCATGGCGTGATGCGGCACAATGACTCTGCTCAGCTCGGTCTGATGCTCGGGCTCGGGCTCAGGGGCGTCCGAGAGGCGGGCTTTGAGAGTTCGGCAGCGCTTTCTGCCGCTCGCGGCCCTCTTCCCCATGGCTCTCCGAGCAGCGCGGGGCCAGCGCGCGGCGCAGCAATAAACACTTGACAAGAGAAAACTTCGGGATGAAGGAAAGTAGAGCAGCTCGGCACCAGCTGCGCGTCGGGATGGGACAGCAGAGGGTTTGAAGGACTAACTCCTCCAATGAGCTATCCGGGAACTTCGTTTGGAGGAGCGCTCCTCCAAGACTCAATGCGCGATGACCTCTTGGGGAGGTGTTCCTCCAAAGGAGGTGTCCTGGATATGTGTTGGAGGAGTGCTCCTCCAAAGGAGGTGCCCTGGAGGTGTTTTGGAGGGGTGCTCCTCCAAAGGAGGTACCATGGAGATGGTTTGGAGGGGTACCCCTCCAAAGGAGGTACCCTGGAGACGTTTTGGAGGGGTGCTCCTCCAAAAGGATATGCCCTGGATATGTTTCGGAGGGGTGCTCCTCCAAAAGGATGTACCCTGAACATGTTTTGGAGGGGTGCTCCTCCAAAGGAGGTGTCCTGGAGATGGTTTGGAGGGGTGCTCCTCCAAGGGAGGCGGCCCGGAGATGGTTTGGAGGGGTGCTCCTCCAAAGGAGGTGTCCTGGAGATGGTTTGGAGGGGTGCTCCTCCAAAGGAGGTGCCATGGATATGGTTTGGAGGGGTGATCCTCCAAGGGAGGTGCCCTGGAGATGTTTTGGAGGGGTGCTCCTCCAAAGGAGGTGTACTGGAGATGATTTGGAGGGGTGCTCCTCCAAGAGAGGCGGCCCGGAGATGGTTTGGAGGGGTGCTCCTCCAAAGGAGGTGTCCTGGAGATGGTTTGGAGGGGTGTTCCTCCAAAGGAGGTGCCATGGATATGTTTTGGAGGGGTGATCCTCCAAGGGAGGTGCCCTGGAGATGTTTCGGAGGGGTGCTCCTCCAAAGGAGGTGCCCTGGATATGGTTTGGAGGGGTGCCCCTCCAAGGGAGGCGGCCCGGAGATGGTTTGGAGGGGTGCTCCTCCAAAGGAGGTGTCCTGGAGATGGTTTGGAGGGGTGCTCCTCCAAAGGAGGCGTCATGGATATGTTTTGGAGGGGTGGTCCTCCAAGGGAGGTGCCCTGGAGATGTTTTGGAGGGGTGCTCCTCCAAAGGAGGTGTCCTGGAGATGATTCGGAGGGGTGTTCCTCCAAGGGGAGCGGCCCGGAGATGGTTTGGAGGGGTGTTCCTCCAAAGGAGGTGTCCTGGAGATGGTTTGGAGGGGTGCTCCTCCAAAGGAGGTCCATGGATATGTTTTGGAGGGGTGATCCTCCAAGAGAGGTGCCCTGGAGATGTGTTGGAGGGGTGCTCCTCCAAAGGAGGTGTCCTGGAGATGATTTGGAGGGGTACTCCTCCAAGGGAGGCGGCCCGGAGATGGTTTGGAGGGGTGTTCCTCCAAAGGAGGTGTCCTGGAGATGGTTTGGAGGGGTGCTCCTCCAAAGGAGGTGCCATGGATATGTTTTGGAGGGGTGATCCTCCAAGGGAGGTGCCCTGGAGATGTTTTGGAGGGGTGCTCCTCCAAAGGAGGTGTCCTGGAGATGATTTGGAGGGGTGCTCCTCCAAGGGAGGCGGCCCGGAGATGGTTTGGAGGGGTGCTCCTCCAAAGGAGGTGTCCTGGAGATGGTTTGGAGGGGTGCTCCTCCAAAGGAGGTGTCGTGGATATGTTTTGGAGGGGTGATCCTCCAAGGGGGGCGTCCTGGAGATGTGTTGGAGGGGTGCTCCTCCAAAGGAGGTGTCCTGGAGATGATTTGGAGGGGTGCTCCTCCAAGGGAGGCGGCCCGGAGATGGTTTTGGAGGGGTGCTACTCCCAAAGGAGGTTGTCCTGGAGATGGTTTGGAGCGGGTGCTCCTCCAAAAGGAGGTGCCATGATCTGTTTTGGGAGGGTGAATCCACCAAGGGAGGTCCTTTTGAAATGTTTTGGAGGGGTGTCTCCTCCCAAAGGAGGTTTGTCTGGAGATGTGATTTGGTAGGGGTGCTCTCCCTCCAAGAGGAGGCGGCCCGGAGATGGTTTGGAGGGGTGTTCCTCCAAAGGAGGTGTCCTGGAGATGGTTTGGAGGGGTGCTCCTCCAAAGGAGGTCCATGGATATGTTTTGGAGGGGTGATCCTCCAAGGGAGGTGCCCTGGAGATGTGTTGGAGGGGTGCTCCTCCAAAGGAGGTGTCCTGGAGATGATTTGGAGGGGCACTCCTCCAAGGGAGGCGGCCTGGAGATGGTTTGGAGGGGTGTTCCTCCAAAGGAGGTGTCCTGGAGATGGTTTGGAGGGGTGCTCCTCCAAAGGAGGTGCCATGGATATGTTTTGGAGGGGTGATCCTCCAAGGGGGGCGTCCTGGAGATATGTTGGAGGGGTGCTCCTCCAAAGGAGGTGTCCTGGAGATGATTTGGAGGGGTGCTCCTCCAAAGGAGGTGTCCCGGATGCTAGTTTGGAGGGATGTTCCTCCAAAGGAGTTGTCCTGGAGATGTTTTGGAGGGGTGCACATCCAAATGAGGTGCCCTGGAGATGGTTTGGAGGGGTGTTCCTCCATAGGGCGGACACGGGGTATGGTTTGGAGGGGTGATCCTCCAAGGGAGGTGCCCTGGAGATGTTTTGGAGGTGTGCTCCTCCAAAGGAGGTGTCCTGGAGATGTCTTGGAGGGGTGCTCCTCCAAAGGAGGTGACCCATAAGCTGGTTTGCAGGGGCGCTCATCAAAGACATCTCCCGAACATCATCCTTGGAGGGGTGCTCCTCCAAGGCTGTTGCCTCGAACATCGCTTCAAGGACTTTCCCCCCCAACGCAACTCTTCCGCACGCCTCCAGGCGTTGACTTAGAAACAGTGCTCCGACACAGCAGTTGCAATCCCGCAAGGAGGAATGAAATCGCGAGGGTTGATGGGGGGAGGAAACAAAGGTGGACATGATACATGCAACGATGGGCGGCGGTGGTGGAAATACAGGGATGGAGGGCGATAGCGATTGCGTGCCGAACAAACTGAGTGCCGACGCGAGTATCGCAAGGGAAGGGTCGCCATGCGCGCCTCCCCCGCCCCGCACGCGGCAAGCCGCCAGCGCCATCCGCGAGGCCCTCGATCGGCTGGAACCTGCGCTGCCCGGAAGCGCGCAGGGCGGGTCAGGCGCTCCCATTTATCCAACAAACATTGCAATCCCTCTCGCTTGTTGTGCGGTTGCGTGTGCGTCTCTCTTTATCGTTCTCTCTCTCTCTCTCTCTCTCTCGCTCTCTCTCTCTCTCGATCTCTCTGTCTGTCTCCATGCCTCTCTACTGTTCCTCGTTTTATCTCTCTCGATGTGCATGTGCATGCAACATATATATATCTATATATATATATATATAATATGTGCGCCCATGCGTACACGTTCATGTAGGCATGCATATGTCCCTACAAACTTTGCACACTGTCCTTCTCTCGCACTGGCCCGCCGCTCATGATCATGCATGCGGCCTCATGCCGTTTCATATATGACTCTACATGCGCGCGCGTGCATAACTCACTTCCGCTTTTCCCCATGTATACCCTCCAGCCCCAGCTGCCCCTGGCCCCCGAGGGCAGGGGGTGCGAGCGAAAGGGAGAGAGAATCGACGGTGGCAGAGCGGGGCGTGGCTGTGGAAGGCGTGGAAGGCTCGCGCCCCAAAGGATGCGGTAGCAAATCTCCGCTGCGACCCACGTCCCCCCATCTCTCGGCCCCAGCTGCCCTAGCGCCTATCGGGGCCATCTGCAGTCTTTCCCTGCTGGGGCGGGGCATCGGGGGCTTCCAGTATCTCGGGACTTCGAGGCCATCCTGGGGCCCTCCCCTCATTCGCGCGGAGCTGGATTGGCGTCTCGTCGGCGAGAGCTAGACTCCCGCCCCCAGGAGCCTCGTGTCCGTCAG